CCCGCTGACTCTTTTATGCACCTTTCACTTTCTTTTTAAGGAGAAAAAATACATAATTATTTCAAGAAAAAATAAATAGTTTCCGTATTCGTGAAGTTATTGTCAAATGATGTCGAGTCGGTTTTGACACACAGTGACCCTGTACAAGGTTTCCAAGGAGTGGCTGTTGAGCTCCTGGGTTAATGTGCTGGACTGCAAAGTTGCCTTGAACCTCAAGGTCAGCAGTTCAAGCTCACCACCTGTTCCTTAGAGACTCTATACAGAGTCTCTAAGGGTTGAAGGAGCTCTGGTAGCATAGTGGTTACGAATCGGTCTGCGAACCTCAGGGTCAGCAGTTCGAAACTACCAGCTGTTCCACGGGAGAAAGATGAGGCTTTCTGCTCCCGTAAAAGATTTACAGCCTTGGAAACCCTGTACAGGGTGTACAGGGTCGCTATGAGTCGGAACCAGCTCCACGGCACATAACAACAACAACAAGGGTCGAAATGGACAACAACAATGTCCTCCAGTTTCATCCATGTTGTGAAGTGTTTTGTAGATTCACCATTATTCTTCAAGGTTGCTCAGTGTTTCTTTGAGTGTATGTAGCAAAGTTTATTTTACCATTCTTCTGTTGATGGCACTTAGGCTGGCTCCATCTTTTTGATATGGCTCTTGTAGACAGTATATTGAAGGATCCTGTTTTCTTATCCATTCTGCTACCCTGTCTCTTGACTGATGTATTGAATCCATTTACATACAGTGTAATTATCAGTAGGTGTGAATTGTTTGCTGTTATTCTGCTGTGTGTGTTGTTTGTGGTGCTGCTGGTTTCTTTGTTCCACATAATTTTCTGCACTGAATTAGTTTTGTTGTGGGTTTTCTTTTCATTTTCATTTCTATTGTGTTCATGTTTACTGAATCTTTCTAATTTTTCTCTTTTTTAAAAAAATTTTGATGTGCAGGTTTATTACTTTTCTTTGAGGTAATGCTGTAATTTATTATTTTTTTCCCATTTTAAAGTCTGTTTTATCTTGAAATCTACTTGACTCATGAAGAAGAATTCTTAAAAACTTTTTTTAAAAAAATTTGTATTCTTAACCAAAGATCTATACATTCTAATGATCTGAAATAGATTTACATACTTTCAGTGTACTCTATTTTAGAAGGATAGGAAAGTTCCTAATACATGTGTGAATAGCCAAAATTATGCTTCGTTTCTCTGATTACTCTTTTCTTTTTTTTTTTAAATTAAATGTTTTTATTTTGCATTGAGTGAAAGTTTACAGGGCACATCATCAGCTTCACAGTCAACCATTCATATAGCTTGTTTCATTACATTGATTATTATCCCCACCATATATCATCAGTTTACAGTGTTTCTCTCTATCCTCTTTAGCTTTTTTTTTTGGATGGGGTGGGACTTGGCTCTTTGGAATTTACAGTCTCGGCTTTTAGGGAAGGTTTTTACATTTGTCTGTGGATATCCAGGGCTCACGTATGAGATTACTAACAAGCATTACTGAATAATCAGATGAGGGACAGTTTGCTATGTCTACTAGGTGGCTAGAGTCTGATCCTCAGAGCCTATGGTTTGGACGGTCAACAACGCTTGGGCCCACAGGGGCTTGGCCTCCTGACCGGGTCTGCACTGTCTGCATCTGAATCCTCCTTATTTACTGATTGTTTAAGAGACGCTGCCTGTCTTAGGTGGTCAGTGCGAATTCCTCAGTCTTACCAGTCATTGAGACTCATTGCAGCATGGCAATGTCTCTGTCTTAAGTAGCTGAGGTTCCACGTGATCCTTACCCGTCTCTGGCCACACGTCCAGCATAAACAGCCGCCATCCGAGGAAGGCAGGGAGGGAGGAGATCAGCTGGGGACCCCATGCGCCCGACGTTGCCGGCCCACCACCTGCTCTAAGGTGACCAAGCAAGATCACTATGCTGAGGTTCAATCAAGTTCTTAGGGGATCTTACTCTCTAGCATGGGTAGCAAATGAGTAGTCAGTGTTCACTTTGAGAATTACTTATATCATAAATTTGAGCATGTAGCTGATGAATATCCCCAGACAAGTGTATATTGTTCCACAACCTCCTAAAATGCTTTTGGATTAAGTTCCAATTAATTTCTGGGTTACTGAAAGATAACACAAATCTACTTATACCTTGAGTAACCTTAGCTGGGAGTGTAGTCTGGATATATTGGGTCTTATTTCTCTCTGATTACTCTTTGAATTACAAAGACACATATATTTCCAATACATCCAGTGAATAGGAAAAATGTTCCTTTCATTTTTAAAGACTCTTGTGATTACATTGGACCCACCCAGATAATCCAGCATCATCTCCCTATTTTAAAATCAGCAGATTAGCAACCTTAAAACCACCTGCAACATATTCGCAGGTTCCCAGGATTAGGAAGTGGAAATCTCTCCACTGCCATTACTCTGTCTACGTCATCTCTGGCAGAAGAAGAGTAGACTTCAGGAGGAGCAACCAGAGGGACGGGAGTCAGTCAGTAGGAAAGGAAACTATCACAGAAGCCAGGGAGAGTTGCTAGGAGGGAGTGCTCAACAGGGAACACTACTGTTGCAAGCTCGAACAAGATTGTTGTTGTTGTTAAAGTGCCATCGAGTCAGTTCCGATTCACAGTGACCCTGTATAAGGTTTACTGAGGCTATAAATTGCAGAAGCAGAAAGCCTCATCTTTCTCCCATGGAGCAACTGATGGGTTAGAAGTCCGAATTCAGAGTGCTGACTCCAGAGAAAAGTCCTTGTCTCCTTTCATCATATGTAGGCCCAGTATTTCTTGGAGATTTCTATGTGTCTTGGTTGGCATCAATCTTTCCCTGTCTCTAACCTTTCGCCTGGTGTGGCGTTGTGGGTTAATGCGCCAGACTGCAAAGCCGTTTGAACTGCAAGGTCAGTGGTTCAAGCTCACTAGCTGCTCCTCAGAAACCCTACACAGGGTCGCTATGGGTCGTGAATCTACTCAACAGCACTTAACAACAACAACAACAAGAGCTTCACAGAGCCAAAACACCAGGCCCAAAGAATACACTCCATCTCTGGGTCTTCTTTCTTGGTGGTAGGTCCTTCAAACAAGATAAGTGATAAATATCCATTGGATTTTGTGACCTGGTGACACCAGGACATGTGTTGGGGAGTGTCAGAGGCAGAAGCTCTGACATGCCAAATGGACAAAGGAGAAGTGAGGAAGTAGAAATGCAGACTGTAAACATCACAGATGTGATTGTGAAACGCGGGTGGGGTTAGTAGAGTAACTGAGTGAAAGGAGACTTGCTGATTCTAAGATGGGAGTGAGAAGCAAGTGTTAGATAGTGATGTCTGTGAAGAGGAGAGTTTAGCTACTCCACAGAAAGTTTGGAGAGAGGGACTGTTGGGTTGATCCAGGCCTCAGGTTTTGTCAGGCAGGAAGACAAAGGGAGTTGGGATGGCTGAGGTGATGCAAAGATAAACACTGGACTGCTAACTGCACAGTCAGAAGTTCAAACCCACTAGCTGCTCCACTGGAGAAAAATGAGGCTTTCTGCTCCGGTAAAAGTGTATAGCCTTGAAAACCCTATACAGGATAACTATGAGTAGGAGTCTACTCCATCACAGTGAATTTGGTTTTTTGCATGGTGAACTTTGGAAGGAACTCTGGCGTCACTGTGGGTTACGCATTGGGTTGCTAACCACAAAAGTCAAAGGTTCATATTTACTACTGTCTTGGAAAGAGTGGGAATTGATGGAACTAGAAACTTCAGAGACTAGAGCGATTAGGAGGCGTTGGTAGACCCATTGGGAGGAATCAGTAAACTCAAAGCTAGACAGGAGGGAATGAGTGAACAAGCGGGAGGATCTCTCTCTCACTGCTTTGGAGAGGATTCCCATGTACAACGTTGGTTGGAAGCAGAAAGCCTCATTTTTCTCCCGCCTAGTGGCTGGTGGGTTTGAACTGCTGAGTTTAGGAGGCTATATATAAAGGAACTCTGGTAGCGTAGCAGTTACAAATCGGGCTGTGACCCGAAAGGTCAGCAGTTCGAAACTACCAGCTGTTCCACGGGAGAAAGATGAGGCATTTTGCTCCCGTAAAGATTTACAGCCTCGAAAACCCTGTACAGGGTCGCTTATGAGTCAGAACTGACTCCACGGCACATAACAACATATAACCCCAATGGTGTTAAGGTATTAAATTTAGGGGTTGTCCTTGATTCCAGAGTTGGATTGCAGTATTCGCTGGATTCCCTGATCTACTAGTCCCTAAATCCTAGATGCTTAGAATAGGCCCTGGCACAGAAGTGTCACATACTGTTACATCAACCCTCCTGGTGTGGCTGTGGGTTAATGTGCTGGACTGGACTGCAAGGACGGTTTGTACTGCAAGGTCACCGGTTGAAGCTCGCCAGCCGCTCCTCGGAAACCCTATACAGGATAGCTATGAGTCGGAACCGACTCGACGGCACTTAACAACAGTGTGTTACAGAGTAGAACTGTGCTCCATAGACCGCCAGACCTTTGTTCTGAGGTGCCTCTGGATGGATTCTTACTACTTAGTAGCTCACGTTTAACCGTTTGCGCCACCTAGGACCTCCACATACTGTTGTTGTACCATTTTCCGATTTAAACAAAAAAAAAACATTGCCATTAAGACGATTCCTACTCACAGCAACCCATTTATCCGGATTCATATAATTTAAACTCAGGAGACAGACGCCATTTCCCTTCATCCCTTGCAGCTGTCCTGACTACAACTCCCATCATACCCAGCAGGCCGCCTTGTCTAGGTGAACTCATATTCTTTAATAGACTTTACCAGTCCCAGCATTCCTCGTTGTTGTTTTAACTCTCTATCCTATCTATCAAGTCCTAGGAACAACCAGTTGGATCAGGGAGCGCGGGACCAGATCGGCCAATCGCCCAGTCAGAGGGGCGGGAGGGGCGTGTCCACTTTATGCCCCGCCCCTGCCCCGTGGCTGCTTCCCTTGGGCAGCGCCTCCGGCTGGACTGGGAACCATGGGTGCTACCTGGCGGAGCCCTGGATGGGTGCGGCTCGCGCTCTGCCTCGCGGGCCTCGGGCTCTCTCTTTACGCTCTGCATGTGAAGACGGCGCGCGCCCGGGACCAAGATTACCGCGCGTTCTGCGACGTGGGCACCGCCATCAGCTGTTCACGCGTCTTTTCCTCCAGGTGCGCGCGGGAGTGGAAGGCTTGAGGAGCCAGGGGCCAGGCTGCTTGTGAGAGTGGTGCATAGGGACCAGGTGTGCATGGGGCCGTGCTGCACGGGGGGCTACCTAGAGACACTAATATTCAAGGTAAGGAGTGCAGGGCAGTGGCACAGATGGCACACATGGAAACTGGAGTTCTTGTGAATGCGGATGCCGAGGAGGAGGAATAACAGTGAGCAGGCTGGAGAGGCAGGTAGAGCAGTGCGTGGGTACAGGACTGAAGAATGACATCTAAGACTTGGCAGTGACAGTGCGTGGGGACAGTGAGGCTGGGTCTGGCAATGTTAGAGGGCCCGGGGTTAACATGACAGACTACAGAGGAGTGGGGAATGGGCAACCCATAAATAGCTTGGAAATTTGGGAGATATCCAGGGCAAAGAGACCCCCACACTGAATCCCAGCCTCCGGTAACTCTGTAAACCTGAGTCAACCTTTATTCCAACCTTGCTATCTTGAGAATGACTTAAAATCTAGGATGGAAACAGGGGCCTATGGAAGATGCAGGGCCTGACCAGGCCTGTAGGTAGGATAGGGACATGACATGAAATCCTGACGTGTCCAAAGGGACAGGCCAAGAGAGGTCAGTGACCTTGGACTTACAGGGCAGGAAGTGAGGAGAGACAGCCCATAGATTCTCCAGGACGGAGTGCTAGGTTGGCACCTCTAACCTGGCCCTCCTCCCCAGGTGGGGTCGAGGCTTTGGCCTGGTGGAGTACGTGCTGGGCGCTGACAGTGTCCTCAATCAGTCCAACAGCATATTCGGTTGCATCTTCTACACAGTACAGCTGCTGCTAGGTGAGTGGCCATTAGGCCTTGCCCCTTCCCTCCTGTCCATAGACAGTCAAGCCCCATCCCATGTAGTCTTGGTGACCCAGACTGGGTACATTGGGGTGGTGAGGGGGAGGGAACCAGCAGAGGGGTCTTTCCGTCCATTGCTGTAGGCCTGTCATGATCAGAAGGGTCCTTAAAGATTTCCTAGGAGCCCAGTTTTGTGGGCAAGAGTCAGCGAAGTTCCTTTGGGGGGAAATTCCTCTCGGCGTTCAGCAAGAAATTCAGCATTTGGGTACCAAGGCCATGGAGGGGCCTGTCCTGTTGGCTGGGTGGCCCTGACGAGCCATGGCAGCCCTGTAGAGAAGAACCACAACTGAAGCCCATGCCTGACCCTTCTCTGCCTTGCAGGCTGCCTCCAAAGCCGTTGGGCCTCCCTCCTGCTGGTGTTGAGTTCTTTGCTGTCACTCGCTGGCTCTGTCTACCTGGCCTGGATCCTCTTCTTTGTGCTCTATGATTTCTGCATCGTTTGCATCACCACCTATGCCATCAATGTGGGCCTGACAGTACTTAGCTTCCGAGGGGCCCCGGGGCCCCAGGGCAAAGTCAAGGGGCACTGAGCCCCAACCTGAAGCCAGACTGACCTCATCTGTTCTGCTTTCATCCATGAACCTTGCCCTAGAGGGCCTTGTCTGGGTCCCTAGAAAGCCCTGCCATCTGCCTCTACTATACCTCCGTATAAGACAATGGACCAATGTGACCACCCCTCCTTCCTCCACCCTAGTGCCTTTAGCCCTATCCTCAGGGCCACTGTCCAAAGTTCTGTCATTACCTAGGGAGGGGAGATTCTGAACAATAAAAGTTTTTAAATACATTGGTCAAGTCTGAGCCATGGGGGTACCATCTGTCCGACAGGGTCCCCAATGTTAGGCCTCTTCTGGAGCTGGGAAGGATATGAGTCAGCGGGGGAGTGGAGGGCCTGCCTGTTTAGTCCCATCACTAGCGTATGGAGTCAGCAAGGCCTGGGGCAAGGTGGTCCCCACCCTCGAGAAACAACCTGACACCTTGTCCTTACTGCGTATGGGAGCCAGGCCTCATCTCTTGGGAGAGCCACACACACATTTGCAAGGGTAAGCTGCCCTTCTGGTTCTGTGCATGCTTGCTCGGAAGTTCTTCCTAGAGTCTGACCTTAACCCCTCTAGGTGCCTTATCTACCAACACAGGCTAGTTTTGGTAGCTCTGAAGGGTTAGGGTCAGGTGATGAGTCTTTTTTGTCTTGTCTTTCCTAATATGTATTGAGGAAGCGCTGGTAGCGTAGTGATTACGAATTGGGTTGCGAACCACAAGGTCAGCAGTTCGAAACTACCAGCTGCTCTGCAGGAGAAAGATGAGGCTTTCTGCTCCTGTAAAGATTTACAGTCTCGGAAATCCTGTTCAGGGTCGCTATGAGTCGGAAGCGACTCAATGGCACTTAACAACAATATGTATTGAGGGAGCGCTTGGTGGTGCTACCTGGATAAGCACTGAACTGCTAACCACCAACCACCAGGTTGGCAGTTCAAATCTACAGGATTTTCTGTGGGAGAAAAATGAGGTTTTCTGCTCCCACAGAGATTTACAGCCTCAGACACCCTATTATAGGGTCACTATGAGTTGGAACTGACTCAACAGCACCTAACAACATTATGTATGAGCATCTGTCCACACATTAGGCACTGTTGAAGAATTTGACATGTATTGACTCATTTAATTCTAGCAATTGTATAAGGTTAAGTACTGTTGTTATACCTGTCTTGCATGAAGAAACTGAGGTCCACAGAAACTAGGCAACCTACCTAAGACCACTTAGCTAGTGTTTGGGAGAGGGGCTTAGAAAGCCCTCAGGACGTGAATCCACCAGCTTAACTCTGCTCACAGCTGCCTCTGTTGGGCCCAGGCTTCCTGACCACCTGGACAGGCCTGGCCTAGGAGTCCAATGTAAAGGATTCTGAGTGCTCTTTCCTGCTGATTGAGATTTTTCTAGCACCTGTGAGAAAGGCGGACGCCTCTATAGCGATTTCCCAGGGAGGAGGCAGGTTCCGAGAAGAAGTGTTGGAATTTGCCAAAGTCTCCTAGCCAAGTAGCAGAGAGCCTGGCCGCAGCACCCAATGTCGCACACATTGCCTCTATGGCAGAGATGGTGAGAGGATGGTGAAACAACCATCTTGCCCCTGATGCTGGGACAGGCAGGGAGGACCTGCCCACTGCCCCTTCACTGCTGGTCCAGGACGACAGTTTCTCTGTCGGGAGCTACTACACTCCAGACTCCATTCTAAACATCTTTACATTTCTGCAGCTGAGCATCTCAGATAAGCCACAGACACACGGTCACACAGGTAAGTGATGGAACTGGGAGTTGAACTTAGGCAGTCCGACTCCATGACAGGCCCAGAGAGGAGTGATGACCAGCCCATGGTCACACAGTCATAGCCTCAGGGCTAGGAGCTGTTGGCTCCCTGCAAACCCAGGAAAAACAATGACGCCTGACTCCTCACCAGCTGGAGGTGGAGCCAAGGTGGAGCCTGGAGACCCAGGTGGCCTTTCCCGAGAAGAACACAGGAAGCAGAGCAGCCTGGAACAGCATGAAGCAAAGCTGGGGACCAGGGCTGCTCATCCTGGAAGTGGTGGTTCTCATAGAGGGTGAGCCACTGTATGTGTGTGTGAGTGGGCTGTGTGTGTGTGAGTGGGCCTGCCTGTGGGCAGTCAACCAGGTCCATCTCACAAGCTCTCTGGGACAGTACAGCTGTGTCTGGATATGTCTGTGAAGAGCCAGTATCTGCTGAAATGAGTGTGATTTTCCTAGGACTGGGTTACACTGTAATTGTGATGGTGTACCGTTCTGCCTGTGTGGGTATCCTGGTGTCATTGTGCTTGCCAGTAGCCTTTGGCTACTCCAGTCTTCTAGTCTCAGTCTCCCCAACTTTACATCTGTCCACTCTCAGTTCTCCAGGGTCAGATGTTCAGTGGGTGTATCTGTGATGGGGCATGAGGCAGTGCAGGGAGCTCTTTGGTAGGGTCCCTGGCAGTTTCTGAGAAGGTGAGGTGGGGTGGGGGGGCTGAATCTCACTCTGGGAGCTCCCCCACCCAGGTCTGCTGCAGTCCTTCTTCTCAGGTCTCCACAGCTGAGAAGACAATTAGACCGATGCTCTTGAATACATGGGCGGCCTCCTCTGACTCAGCAGCGGGGGCAGGTGTCTGGGGTTCCGAAGCCTGGAGGGCTGGCCTAGGCAGGCAGAACCCGGGGCCCTGCTCCTCGGGCCCAGGAGTGCTGAGCACAGCGGAGGGAGGAGAATTAATTACTGAGTCTACGCTCTGAATAGGTTCCAATAAAAGCTGTTTCTCTACCTCATATAAATATTTTCATCCTGGGAGGGGTTGGTGAGATACCCACAAAGTCACTGGCAAGGACCTGTGCCCCCAACTCGTCCTCTCCACCCAGGAGGGTAAGGCTTCCCCAGATCTCACCTGTATATATCTCTTCTCAGGTCTTCAAGCAACTCAGCGGGGTAAGCACTGGGGATGTGGGACCTAGCCTTTCCTTGTTGGGCCTGGGTTGAGGGCAGTGCAGAGGCCAGCTGTCTGACTGACCCACCCCTCTTCATAGTCTGTGGCCAGCGTGGCCCTGGCCCCCCCGAACCTCAGGAGGGCAGCACAATGTCTGGCGAGTGGCCGTGGCAGGCCAGTGTGAGGCAGCAAGGGCTTCACATCTGCAGCGGCTCCCTGGTGGCAGATACTTGGGTCCTCACTGCTGCCCACTGCTTTGAAAAGTGAGTCATGATTGGGGTCAGACAGGGTTTCTGGCTCTGGAGGGTGGGTAGGCAACTTCCCTCAAACCCCAGCAGACTAGTCTCTTCTCCTAAAACACTTAAAGGACCATTTATTGAGATTCTGCCATGTGCCAGGTAGATGTGATCCAGTTATGCTAACAACCTTTCATGGTGGTGGTGAAGTACCACTGAGTTGGTTCCAACTCACAGCCACCTTGTACAGAATTTCTGAGGCTGAAATATTTGCAGGGAACAGAGAGCCTCATCTTTTTCCCTTGGAGCAGGTGATGAGCTTGAACCACCAACTTTGTGGTTCAAAGTCCGACGCTTATCCTATAGAACCACCTTTCATCTGTAGAAGCTTTGATATTTGAGAAAACAAATTGTCAGAAGGGAACCCACCACCAGCACCCATTACCAGGGAACTGATTCCAATTCACAGCAACCTAAAGGACAGCAAAGAACTGCTCCCCCCCACCCCCCCGAAGGTTTCCAAGACTATAAATCTTCACTGGAGTAGATAGCTTTGCCTATCTCCCAAAGAGAAGCTGGTGGGTTTGAACTGCCAACCTTGGCATCAGAAGCCCACTCACCTGGCTCAAAGCCACAAATAATATTTGCCTGTCTTTCCCATGTCTCAAGCGGTCTCCCATGGTGTCCCTCCCCTTGCAGGGCAGCAGCAACAGAACTGGACTCCTGGTCAGTTGTCCTGGGTTCTCTGCAGCGGGAGGGGCTGAGTCCAGGGGCTGAGGAGGTGGGCGTGGCTGCGCTGCAGTTGCCCCGAGCCTACAATCACTACAGCCAGGGCTCTGATTTTGCGCTGCTGCGGCTTGCCCGCCCCACAGCCCACACTCCCCTCTGCCTGCCTCAACCTACACATCACTTCCCCTTTGGGACCTCTTGCTGGGCCACTGGCTGGGAACAAGGCACCAATGATAGTAAGTGCTGTCCCAGCCCAGAGAAGTACTCTGCTTGCCCAAAGTCACACAGCTCCCAGTCTACCCCCCATTATCACCCTATCCCAGAATCCAGGCTACAGCCTTAGTCTGATCTCTTGTCAGCTCCCAGGAGCCTACGGAATTTGCGCCTGCGCCTCATCAGCCGCCCCACATGTAACTGTCTCTACAATCGGCTGCATCAGCGGCCGCTGGCCAGTCCAGCCCGGCCTGGCATGCTGTGTGGGGGTGCCCAGCCTGGGGTACAGGGACCCTGTCAGGTCTGAGGGGAACAGAGAAGGGAGCAGAAGGGTGGGAGCTTACGCTAGGGCTCAGGGCTTGATCCCCAGGAGGGACGGGTAGAGGGGCTTGTAGTAAAAGGTGTGCCCAGGGCTGGGACTCAGGTATTTGTCCTTGGTGCCAATGCCCGGCTCCAGGGGGACTCAGGAGGCCCCGTGCTGTGCCATGAACCCGATGGACACTGGGTCCAGGCTGGGATCATCAGTTTCGCATCAAGCTGTGCCCAGGAGGACACTCCAGTGCTGCTGACTGATATCATTGCCCACACCTCCTGGCTGCAGGCTCGAGCTCAGGGGGCAGCCTTTTTAGCCCAGAGCACAGACAGCCCACAGATCAGTGACGAGGACAGCTGTGTAGGTATGAGCAATGAGCAATGGGCAATGGGCAATGGGATGGGATGAGTGGGGTCCCCAGGCCTGCACAAGGGCTTCTCTGGGCAGTGGGTGGCAGCTATAATTAAACAGACTGTCACACACTGCCAGGAGGCTTGTTAAGGTCCCTTCGCGACAAAGGCTGTAGACACTTTGGAAGTTTACAGGTCTGGTGAGGGTTTTGGGGGGGGAGCTGTTAAGCCTTCCAGACAGGGACCCAGTGAGACTGGACATGGCAAAGTACTCAGAATCCTGGCAGTGAGTGACTCAACATGCAAATCTCATGCAAAGTAATTCCTTGAGGAAGATGATTCTTGATGGTAGGAAGCACCTGTGAGCCAGGAATTCTAGGGCCAGTCCAGGGCCACTCCCACAAATGAGCAGGGCCACTCCCATAAAGCGGGGTAAGAGGACCATCCAGACTACCTGGGTTTAAAGTTCTGGCCCTGGGTTTTGAATCCTAAGTGAACTACTTGTCTATAGCTACAAAGCTAGAAAGTCTTGTAACCTCTCTGATCTTCAGTTGTCTCTGTTGCAAAATGAGGTTAATAATGTTCAAGTCATGATATTGTGGGAAAAGTGCTTACTGCAGTGCCTGGCATACTCAGAACTTAACAAGGAGTCAGATGATGTAATCTTTTCTGTTTCAGCCTGTGGGTCTCTAAGAAGGGAAGGCCCGCAGGCAGGAGCCTCCTCCCCTTGGCCCTGGGATGCCAGGCTGAAACACCAGGGGAAGCTGGTCTGTGGTGGGGCCCTGGTCTCAGAGGAGGTGGTGCTGACTGCTGCCCACTGCTTCATTGGGTAAGCCCCACATCCCTCCCAGGTGTGCCACCTGCCCCTGTTGGCAGTCCTGCCACCATGCTTTTAATACTGCCTCTGCAGACGCCAAAACCCTGAAGAATGGAGCATAGGGCTGGGAGCTGGACCAGAGGAACGTGGCCTGAAGCAGCTCATCCTGCACGGGGCTTATACCCACCCAGAAGGTGGACATGATGTGGCTCTCCTGCTGCTGGCCCAACCTGTGACACTGGGGCCCAGCCTTCGGCCCCTCTGCATACCCTATGCTGATCACTATCTGCCTGATGGGAAACGTGGTTGGGTCCTGGGGCTGGCCCACCAAGGAGCAGGTATGTAGGGCCACTACAAGCAGCAATGGCCATCCAAACCAAGAGGCCACTGGGAGAGCTGGATCTTTTCCCTCCAGAGGTAGGCGCTCTCCAGACAGTACCTGTGACCCTCCTGGGGCCCAGGGCTTGTAATCGGCTGCATGCAGCCCCTGGGAGTGCTGGCATCCCAATTTTGCCAGGAATGGTGTGTAGCAGCGCTGTGGGTGAGCTGCCCCACTGTGAGGTGAGTTCCACCCACACAACTTTACCTGCCAGTGTCCTACTGTCCCTTACCCTGCAGTCTTGCCTCTCACCTGAAACTAGGCCTTCTGCCAACTGTACCCTATACAGCACTCCCATAGCTGTCTAGGGGAGGGGAGAGTCACCCATCAGCACCTCATCCCTGACAGGGTCTGTCTGGGACACCGCTGGTGCATGAGGTGAGGGGAACATGGTTCTTGGCTGGGCTACACAGCTTTGGAGATGCTTGTCAAGGTCCTGCCAGACCTGCAGTCTTCACGGCACTCCCGGCCTATGAAGATTGGGTCAGTAGTCTTGACTGGCAAGTCTACTTCTCAGAAGAGCCTGAGCCCGAGGACGAGCCTGGAAGCTGCCCCACCAACATGAGTACGTGGGCCTGGGGCTCCTTCTCTCAATCTAGGGAGGAAGTCGTCCTGCCCAACCTCTAGCTGCCTTGGGTGGGACAGACCTATTTGGAATCAAATTATGGTTCTTCATCAAGATGTGACTTAAGAGCAAGCCTCTCAACCTTTTGGACCTTAGTTTTCTCATCGGTTATGGGGGGTCAGTGACACCTTTCTCCTCCCTGGAGGGAGGGAGGAAAGTTGCGAGGATGAGGCCAACCCTGCCCGCGTCTTCTCCCTGACAGGCCATCCCGCAGGCTGTTGAGAGGTGGTTTTGTGCTGACTGCAGGGTGCCACAAACACAATGAAGCAATTCCTGCACCACTGCCTTCCTCGTGACCCACGCCCATGCATGACTGCGGGCTTGAGGCAGATCCAACAGCCCCAGATCGCCAACTGCCCCCACTCCCCCCCAACTCTGCTCAAGCCCCTGCAGGACAGGGAGCCGGCGCCTATGGATGCTCCCCACACCCAGCCTTGCTCCCCAACATTCTTCTTCACTCCACCAGATGCCATCACAACAGCCAATTGTTTCGAAAATTTCCTTTTTGGGGGGGAGCAATTTTCCTTTTTCTTAAACTTAAATAAATTGTTACAAAATAGACTTTAGAAAATAAGTTACAAATTCTAGCAAAAGGCTCCCCTTCCATAGGCAAGGTTCCTGCCCATGGCTCTCTGCCTCTCCCAGGGTTAGAATCATCGAGCTGGTAGGGCCTGCTCAGGACCTTGGCAGAGCAGGGCACCAAGCTTCTCACAGGGCAGAGCGTGCTAACAAAGGCTGGGGCAGGGAGGCCCTTCAAGGACAGGGACATGAGGAACACCCCCTCCCTCCTCGGGAAAGAAGCCAGACAGGGGCCTCTTCACAGGGGGAGGAGAGAAAAGTAGTCTGGAGTTCCAAACTACTCCTGAGTAAAACATGAGATCAAATCCTTCCCCCACCCCCCACCCCCCAATATTCTGATCTTTGGAGACTTGAATTTCAGAGGGAGAAGCTGAGGTCTGCAGGCCACTGGGGTGAAGGGTCCAGGAGAGGAGTTGGGGTAGGTGGACCGGGCAGTGATGAGTCCCCTCTGCCCGCCGCTGGTGCTGCTGAAGACCCTGGGGGGAGGGAGAGAATTGTCACTGAGGAGGTAGCCTCCATGTACCTTGTACCCCAAGTTTGCAGGCCATTCATGGCCCCAGGAACTCCCCAGGATTTCCCCAGCCCTAGCTAAATGGCTCCTCACTTGTTCCTTTGAATCACGAGTAATCCTTTATGTTAAAAGCCGTCCCTTGGGCCTTTCAGGGGAATCTTACCCACCATTCCGGCTTTCCTTATTCTCTGGTCAAGGTCACCCACCCTCCATTGCCACAAAATATAATTGGTCCTGGGAGATGTCTAGAGGTGGTGGCTTAGGGCACAGGCTGCCCACTCCTCCGCAGTCCCAACCTCCCAGTCAGTTGACTGGGTGGAGGTGATTTTTACATGCAGATCGCCCGCTGATAGAGAGGGAGATAGGCACTAATGACTGTTGTTGCTACAGCTGGGTCTAGCTTCAAAGAAACAATTATCTGTGACTCAGTCCTCCAGTTAAAGGTGTGCAGGTAGAAAGGGTGGTTTGGTTGGATCCTAAAAAGGAGACCGAGAGAAAAAACAAGTTGAATAAAGAGGAGGAAGAGATATGAGGCAACAAGGAAGGAGGCGGGAGAAGAGACAAGATGCAGGGAAAGAGGGACCAGGGACTGAGAATTGGGTACCAACCAGTGACCCAGATTTCTTGGCCAAGTTAACAATGAAGCCAGTCTGGAGATGCCCCCGCCCCATTCTTCTTTTCCTGGCTACTCCTTGCCTACTCTCGTCTGGGAAGGTACTCTAGAGTCCAAAAGCAATGGCTTCATCTTCTTCTCTAGGAATTAGGACTTTTATGGACTGAATGCAATTTCCAGATGTGCTGGTCATGTGGTCCCCAACCACCTCCCCTCCAATATAAAGACCACGCCTCTGGCTGTGGCTCAGCAGAGGAGTCTGGCCAACTGCCTGACCCATCATGCAATATACCCGACATGGGTTCGGACTTGTCCCTCACAAGGCAGCAGCTGCAAACTAGGTTTTCCTCCATAGCCAGGCCCCAGAGCCCACCTCTTTTGAATTAATCCATACGAACTTGTCCTCTCATTCCTTGCTTCCCCATACACCTTGAGGCCCAACTTCACCCTCTACTGTGCGCCCATATCCTTCAAGGCCCTCCAATCAATCCTCTGCCCAAGCCCATTCATGCCTCCATACCAGAGCTGTCCATTGTCCATCCCTCCTGGCGCTGCTGGTGCTGCAAAAAGCTGATTTGACTGCAGAAGTGGCAGGGACAATGGGGGCAGGTGAAGGGCCCCTCCCAGGATGCCTGGACCTGCCCATGGCCCTTCAGCCGGGCAGCTGTCCGGAAAGCCTTGCCACAGATGTTGCAGTGGTGGCGCTTGGGGTCCGTGTGGGTCCTGCCATGGTTCTTGAGGGAGGCAGCTTAGGTAGAAGCTTGGGGCAGAGGGAGCAGGGATAGAGTCCAGTGGTGTGGGCCTTCTGGTGGTTCAGCAGGCTACCCGTGCATGGCAGTAGGACGCCCACACTGGGCACAGCGGAAGGGCCGCTCCTCATCTTCAGCCACTGTGGACTTTATTCCTTGCTCTCTACTAACTCTCCCAGCATCCTTTTCTGGAGCCCTGGAGTATTCTGGTGGGGTCTCCTGGACTCTCCTTGCTTGGAACAGGGAGACCTAACTGGTCCTCTGCAGTCCCAGCTTTGGGGTCCCTGGTCTCCTCTGTCTGGTGTGGCACCTGACTTGTTGCAAATGGCTAGTTAGCTCAGGGTGGGAATGGAAGGCCTGGCCACAATCAGAGCCAATAGAGGGCTGAGCAGCTATGTGTGGTTGTGGCTCTTGGTGACCACAGGTTTCAAGAATTCCTTGGAGCAGAGCAGACAGCAGTAGCAGTCTGTCTTGCCAGACTGGCAGCAAGAAAAGGGGTGACTCTCTGGCTGAAGCTGAGAGCTGTCATCTCTATTGTCCTAGCTATCCCCGGGACTCACATGAAGTCCACAAAGCTGGCTGTTGCCAAGGTGGCAGGGGTTCCTGGGGACATTGTCCCCTGACTCTGCCTTGTCCAAATTCCCCCGAGACTGTGGTTCTGGGGCTTCTGAAGCTGCCGCCCCAATGGGGCCATGACTATGCTCACCTGGCCTCATGGCTGCATTCTCCCGCTGAGACTGCCTCATTACCTCGGGATCTGCCCTCACTGCCCCCTTGGCCATATGGGCCTCCATGGCCACTGGCCAGCCCCCTCTTGGTATCCTCCTCATGCTCCCGCAGGTGCTGCCCGCCAGGACTGCCCTGCCCACCGCCTCCGGCTGAGTGTGAAGCCTCTAGGGGTCCTTCAGGGCCATGCGCTTAGAACAGATCTTAGGGCAGGTGGGGTAGCTGTACTGGCCTGTCCTATGGCTGCACAGGTGATTCAGGAGGCTCCCGGCATGGTGGTAGGTCTGCCCACACCGGAAGGGCAGATCTTCCTGAGTCAGCTTTCTGGAGCCCCCACCCCCATGCCGCTCAACATGGACTGGCTGGTGGGTGGCCAGCTGTTTCCGCAGGCGGAAGGGCTTCCCGCACTCACCGCAGCGGAAACGCCGGGGATCCGCGTGGATGCGACGATGGTTCTTGAGGGACATGAGGTTGGAGAAGCCCTTGGAGCAAGCTTGACAGCCAAAGTGGCCTGTCTGATGGCTCTGCCGGTGATTGATGAGGCTGCCTGCGTGCTTGTAAGACCTGCCGCACACCTCGCAGCTGAAGGGCCGCTCAGAGCTGCCTTCAGTCTGGCAGCCCTTCTCTGCAGTCTCCAGCCTCGGCTCCATCTCCTCCCCCTTCACAGTGGTCTCCTCCCATGCCTCTTCTTTCACCCTTGCCACTTCCTCTGGGGGCTCCACTTTGAGTTCTTCCTGAGGCCTCTCCACTTTGGTCTGCCCCAGGCCCTCTTCTGCCATGTTTAGAGGCTCACAGCTGCCTTCCATCTCTGGGATGGGCCCAACCTGGGGCTCAGCACCTTTGCAGCGGGGATGGTTTCGTAGATGATTACGGTAGGCAGCCAGGTTGGGGTAGCAACGGGAGCAGACAGGACAGGTAAAGTCTCCAGTCTGGTGGATTTTGCGGTGGTTCACCAGGCTGCCCCCATGACGATAGGTCTTGCCGCACTGGTTGCAGCGGAAGGGGCGGGGCTGGACCTCCAGGAAACTTTCACCACCCTGCATGCAAATGCTGTCTGCTACTGCAGCACCTATTCCCTCACCAGACTTCATGTCTGCACCCTCCCCAGAAACTGAGGTCACTGTGCCCTCATAGACACCATCTGTAACCATCTCTGTGCCATTACCTGACTCTCCCAAGTGGCTGGGTGCCTTGTCCATGGCGTTTCCCAAGCCACCAGCCAGACTTCGGTGGTGGCGCTCCAGGCTCCCCAGGTCGTCATAGGTCTGACCACAGCAGCCACAGATGTGCCCATAACCTGCTCCATCCAGTGCCTCCACCTCTCGCTGCAACTGATTCAGCAGCTCAGCTTCAGATAGCTGCAGTGGAGGGCTCTGGGTGGAAGCTGCCTCTGCTGCTCCTTCCTCCTCTCCTTCTTCCTCCTCGGATCCCTCAGTCATGCCAGAGGTGCTGTGAGCCTGACGCCGATGAAGTCGGTAGCCAGCCCGCCCGGGGAAGATCATGCCACAGAGACAGCAAAGGAAAGGCTGTGCTGCGCTCACCTCCCCTGGTCCGTGGTTCCGAAAGTGGTTGCGTAGGGCGGGCAGCGAGTCGAACTCCTTGGGGCAGAGGGAGCACTGATAGATGCCTGGTGGATGGCAGGGCCGGTGGCTCAGCAGACCAGTGGCATGAGGAAAAGAATGCCCACAGTCGGAACAAGTGTGGGAGGCCTCAGCCTGCCAGCCAGTGACTACTCCGGCAGAGTGGGTAGAGGACTTGGCCAAGTTGGTGGCTGGTTTCTGCTCTTCAACCACCCTAATGAGGCCACTGCAGAAGGGGGACCCACTGTCTTCCTCATCTCCTGAGTCGTCCATGTTGTCAAGAAAACAGTTCTCCTTTCTTTCCAGTCCTTTCTTGCCGTCTCGGCTCTCTTTATGGCCCTGGAAACAAACCTCATCCCTCTCTAACCCACACGTGTCCCCGTCACTTTCCAAGTTGTCTTCTGCCTCACTAAGACTTCCTCCTGAAAGGTCTTGGGGAAAGTCTGGGCTCTCGCTGTCTTCCACCGACTCCTGGGCCCAGTCCTCCGCGGATAGGAGTTTGGCACCTCCACCCACACCAGCACTTCCAGTCCGCCTCCGGTGCCGCCTGCTTCGCCGCCGACTGTGGAGCCGCAGATGGTTCTTCATTGCAGCCATGGTGTGGAAGTGCTTGGCACAGGCCCCACAACTGAAGTCCCCCGTCTGGTGGGTCTGCCTGTGATTGATAAGACTGCCTGAGTGGCGATAGCTTTTGCCACAGTCTTGGCAGGCAAATGCCCGAGGAGGTAAGATCTTGATCTCCACCTGGTTGTTTCCGCCTCTCCCTGCCCTATGGATCTGGCCATGACGTTCAAGGCTCTCAGGGTTTTCAAAGAGCATTCCACAGACACTACAGATCTGTGGTGTGGTCTCATCTGCTGCTGGGGGGATCTCAGTGGCTTCCTCTTCACGTTTGCAACTACCCTGAACTACCGGTGGGGCAGCCTCTGCTCCTACCTTGAGGTGGCTGGGGGGGCCCTCAGCCCCTGGGCCTGCATTGCGACGAGCAGCTTTACAGTGTACACGCACATGGTTGCGCAGGGCCATGAGGTTGGAGTACTTGCGGGGACAAAGTGAGCACGGGTAGTCTCCTGTCTTGTGAGTGTGGCGGTGGTTCACCAGGCTCCCCCGGTGACGGTAGGCACGCCCACACTCATTGCATTTATAGGGGCGATGGTCCACACCTTCTTCATCTTTGGAGGTGCCATCAGACAGTGACTGACCACCCTCTCCAGGACCCTGCCGGGGTCTGTGATGAGCTCGCACGTGGTTTTTGAGCGCAGCCGCGTTGAACAGATGCTTGGAACAGACCGGGCAGGGGTAGACACCTGTCTGGTGGCTCTTACGATGGTTGATGAGGCTTCCAGCGTGGCGGTAAGTGCGCCCACATTCCTCACAGCGGAATGGCCGGTATTCTTCCAGAACGCTGTCCTCAAGCTCCCCAGAGGTGCTCAGTTCCCCAGAACTGTTCAGCATCTGTGTAGTAGGGATCTGGTTTCCACTGCTCTCACCTATGTGCCCATTAGTGGTTGGCATCCCCTTCCCTTCCCACAAACTCTCCTGGCTTTCACCCTCATGAGATTGCTGGTGTTCCAGCAGCTCCCGGGGGAGTCGGAAGGCACGGGGGCAGTGGGGACACCGGTAAGGCCGATACTGGGCATGGAGCCGTGAGTGATTCTTCAAAGCCATTAAGTTAGAGAACTCCTTGAAGCAGATGGCACAGGGGTAGATGCCCAGGGTGTGGCTCTGGCGGTGGTTAGTGAGGCTTCCAGCGTGCTTGTAGGTCTTGCCACACTGACTGCACTTGTACCGCCGTTCCTCCTTCACAGGAGGAGACTGAGTGGGCTCCTGGCCCCCTGTGAAGTTCACAACTGATTCAGCCAAATACTGTTCCAAATTGCTAAGGAGGCTGCTGGCTGGGGTGGGGAGAGGTGGGGCTCTGGCAGAGTTGGTGGTGGCTCCCCAGTGCTTTGCACCTTCCTCAGGATCTGGCTGGTTTTCCCAGCCTTCCCTTTGTCTAGGGGATGGATCTTCCCAAGTACCTGGAGCTGCTCTGGGGTCAGGCCCAGACTCACAGCCAGGTGTCTCTTCAGGATGCTTTGTCTGGTTTTGCCAGCCTTCCTCAGGGTCCAGTTTCTGGTCCCATGAGTCAGGGGACACCATCTCAGCCTGGAAGAATGGGGGGGCTTCCCTGGGGCGGGGAGGCCTCCTCTTGCGGCGGCCCTCAGGGGTATGAGTCCTTATGTGGCTTTTGAAGGCCATGGGATTGGTGAAGTCTTTGCCACAGGTGGTACAAGGGTAAAGGCCAGTCTCGTGGGTCCGGCGGTGGTTGATCAGGCTCCCTGGGTGACGGTAGCCCCGCCCACACTGATGACAGCGGTAAGGCCGGGGGATGCAGTCAATGTCCTCAGTGTCCTGGGTGGGAAATGGATGGAGAAGCTCTCGGTGTCGTACCAGTTCTGGAAGACTAGGAAAGTGGCGCTGACAGTCAGAGCAGCTGAGCGAGGCAGGCACGTCCTCCATGGAGTGGCACAGCAGAAACGTGGAGGTTCAGGAAGAGCAGGCAGGTGGCAGCAGCATCTTCCTTTAGTGTAGGAGCCAGGCCTAGAAAGAAGGGGAAGTGGTCAGAAGGCTTTAACATTGCCCCTTGGCTCTATGAGTCCCAATCACCAGGGTCCACACAGGGTTCACTAAGCATTCATTCTCAGAAACTGTTTTCTACTGGACCTACCCCAGTTATCAGTTAAGGCCTTCCTGTACATATGCTCCCCACATAGAAGCTCCCCAGGCCCAGCTCATTCCTACAGCTACAGATGACGAAACTAAAGTCTACAGGGGTAGAATCTACTTCTGACCACAGACCTATTATTCTATTCTCCAGATCAGATCCAAGAGATCTACTGTCCCTAACCCTCTGCTATCAAATCTGAAACAAAGAAACTTATATTCCCTAACATCATAAAGGGTCAGCAAATCCTATCTAAGCCTTTCAATTTAAAACACAAAAAGCTTTTTTCCCTCACCCCTCTGCTAAAGAGAGACCACTGAGAGTGCCTATTGTGAAGCACTATTGAGTGGGTTCCAACTTATAGTGACTCTGTATAAGGCTTCTGAGGCTTTAAGTCTTTGTCAAGAGCAGAAAGTCTCATCTTTCTACCATGTAGTGGCTGGTGGGCTCGAACCATTGATTTTGTGGTTCTAAGTCCAGTGCTTATTATGTGGAGCCACCATGCCTGAAAGGAGCATGGTGGCATAGTGGTTACGAATCAGACTGCTAACCTTAAGTTTGGCAGTTTGAAACTACCAGCCGTTCCGCAAAAGAAAGATGACGCTTTCTGCTCCCAGAAAGATTTACAGCCTTGGAACCGACTCCAAGGTACTTAACAACAACCATGCCTGAAGCCCTAAAATGGCAGCTTCTTTCTCCAACTGACAGATACGGACCTGTGAGGGGAGGATAGAGGGCGCCGTTTATGAACCGGTTGGCTTGTTCTCCCACCTCTCCTATTTCTTTCAACCTTACAAGGGCTCCTTCCCAAAAGGCACTCATGGCCACTTCCTTCACTTACTTCCCCTGAGCCCAAATGACTTTTCATTGTGGAAATCCCACCCCATTTCCGGTTGCTCTTCAGCCCCTACCTCTTCCGTTCTATGCCTCCTACCCTTAACCTCAACAATGCCTTTCATTTTTTCCCCTCTTCTACTCCCCCGGGAGAAAGATGAGGCTTTCTACTCCCGTAAAGATTTACACCCTCGGAAACCCTGTACAGGGTCGCTATGGGTCGGACCCGACTCGATGGCACTTAACAACAACAACAACAACAACTCCCCTAAAGGGAAGTTCTGGTGTGGCTGTGAAAGAAGCACTGGACTGCAAGGTCAGTTTAACTGCACGGTCCACAGTTCAAATCCACCAGCCGCTCCACACAAACCCTATACAGGGGGGCTATAAGTCAGAATAGGAGTTCTGGTAGCGTAGTGGCTACGAATCGGGCTGCGAACCTCAGGGTCAGCAGTTTGAAACTACCAGCTGTTCCGCGGGAGAAAGATGAGGCTTTCTGCTCCTGTAAAGATTTACAGCCCCGGAAACTCTGTACAGGGTCACTATGGGTCGGAACCGACTCAACGGCACTCAACAACAACGTAAGTCAGAATGGACTCAACAGCATTTAACAACAACTTTCCAAAGGAACCCTGATGGTGGAGTGTTTTACAAGCTGGGTTGTTAACCAAAAGGTCAGGAATTCGAATCCACCAGCCATTCCACTGGGGAAAGATGAAGCTTTCTGTTCCCATAAAAGTTTAAAGCCTTGGAACCCTAAACATGAACCAAGTCCACAGCACACAACTACCACCACCACTTCTCCTAAATAAATACTGATGATAATGACAGATATTACTGCCAACTTAGCCACCTCGGTGTAGCAAGCACTACACTATGCACATTCACTGTAATTTAATCCTATGCACATTCACTGTAATTTAATCCTCACAACGCACTTTAATGTCTCTCTAATCCCAGAGTTCTGGTGTGGATTTGCAGAATAAGCAAAGAACTGATAATAACAAGGATGGCAGTTCAAACCCAACAGGCCGCTCCTTGGAAACACTACACAGGGTTGCTATGAGTCGAAACTGACTCAACAATACGTAACAATTATCCCAGTTTACAATGGAGCAAACCCATCGACTCCGTCAGTCTTCATTCCAAAGCCCTTGTGTCTCTTCATAGCAACTTCCCTTACTACCACGCCTTGGGCCTGCTCCGACTCGGATTCTTCACTCCCATGAAAGCCCTTTATCATTCCTATCTCTGACACTTAAACTCTCCCCCCCGCTCAACCTTCTTCCCAGTCTCACCTCACAAAGCCCTTCACTCGAGTCTCCATCCCTAATCTAGCACCACCAAAATCCTCTCCCATTTCCTCTGCCAAAAGCCTTTCAAGACCCCCCACCTCGCACGGCAGTCCCTTCTCTTTCCCGCAGCGGGCGCGTCCGTTGGGAACTGCGGGCGGCGGACAGTGGGACAGCAAACGGGAACGCGCCTGCGCACTGGGACCCTTACCCCAACTGCAGCCGCGCGCCCCAAGGGGTGGCGGTGGGGGGCGCTCGCGCTCCCACGTACGTACTCAGACTGGGCTCCTCAGGAGGTGCGAGAGCAGGGGAAGAAAAAGACGAAGGAAGAGGAGGAAAAAGGGGGTAAAAGGATGAGGGCGAAGCTGGCACCAGCCGGAGTATACTCCCGAGATCCGCGAACACTTCCTATTGTTAGTAGGAAACAGGAAGCGTCCGACCCGCAAAAGCTCCCCCGTGAAACCTCAACCTTGGGAACATCCTGTCCCGCTTTCAAACAGCTGTCTCCGAAAACACACTTCCGGCGTTAAGGGATAAGCCGGCCAACGCGACTTTGGGGCCGCCCACATAGGTCACAGCGCTTCCTTTATACGCACTAACCTTAGCCACACTTCCGGCGAGAGTCTGAAAAAGGTTCCGTCGTATATCTCTCTATATTTTGGGGGGGGGGGGGCGTTCTGCAGCTTTGGCTTCAGTACCTTGGCGACAACTTTCGCGGGCCTCCCTGGAAGACTTTCCCCAAGATCAATAGGGCAAGCTTCATTAAATTCACTTCTCGCTATTAAAGGAAATGATGTGGGCTACAGCGGATCTAGGGAATACAAAGCCTGAGCATAGCCTTTCTGTCCTCCCCACCTTCTAGTCTTTGGAGACATTTTCGGAGACCTGGCCCCAAACTAGAGCAATAGTCGAGTGTATACCATAAATCTGTCCGGCGTTGCTTGCCCTCAGCACCCACAAGACCACTGGCAAGATGTTTCCCCACCACCATCGGCTGGGGGTGCTCCGGTAAATCTTTCCTTCCTCCTGAGTCGGGAAAGCTCTCTTCTACTTCCGCTCTCCGGCCCCGCCTCCTCAAGCTCCCCTCTTCCCTCCTCCCACCTCCCGCTGGGTCCTAGTGCCTGCTCCTTTCTGGCAGTGTCCCGGGCTCAGTTGGTCCGAGGAGCCACCGCTGAAGTCGCGGAGCCGGTCTGAGTCCACTCAGGTAGGAAACGCCGGCAGAAAGCCACGGGGTCCAAGGCGGGCTCCAATATGGACGGGCTCCGAGCTGGCCTCAGTTTCCCTGTGGGCACCGAGGGCGGACACGGCCGGCCGAGCGCGGATAACGCGGGCGGGGCGGGAGGAGAGCGGCCCCGGGCGGGCGCGAAAGGGCGCCTGACCCAGTGGGTCCTAGAACCCGCCGGCTATCCTCGCGGGCCAGGTGATGCGGGCACTGGGGCTCGGCCAGCGCGTCTACCCGCCTCGGGCGGCGAGGACCCGGGGGTCCTAGAGCCCGCCCTATTGCGGGCTTTTGTCCCAGACGCGAGGCCAGCCCTGCAAGGTCCCTGGCGTCCGCGGCCCCCCTCCTCCGCCGTGTCCCTGGCCGCCCCTCCCGCGGTCCTAGAGAACGCCATCTTGCAGGCCTTTGTTTCGCCTCCGGCCTTCAGTTCATTCATTTGTTCATTCCCACATTCTTCGTTCATTCCTTCTTGCCACGTTCTCTGATTAGGTCTTGCAGCGTTCGACGAAGTCACAATCCCGGAGGGCTTATTCCGACAGGAGACAGCCTGGGGTCCTGTCCTGTGAGAGTTGCCTGTCTAGTGTGGGTGCTTAGAAGGTTGCAGAGAGCAGCGCAGGACTAATTCTTCAGCTCACGGGCTCTCCTTAGCGTTTCTCCTTGGCCTTAAAGCTGGCAAAAATCTCCACAGACCTCAGAGGCCGCATTTTAGGGGCGAGGAAACGGAGGCCAGAGCTCATAGCGCCCCAATCTCCAGTGCCAATTCATATCCCTGAGATAATCTCAAAAGAGTTTTCCTGGGGGAGACATCAAGCAGAGGAAAGTAGTGGAGATGCTTGGAGGTAGGGAAGTATGAAGATTGTAGCTAGATGCCAGAGGTATGCCAAGTTGGAAGAGTAGGTTGGAATCAAGTTATGAACTGACCAAGGCGAGGCCTAGGAGGTGATGAGCGCTCACATCTGCCCTTTGCATGGTTCCCCATCTGTCAACTCACCATATCAATGACCTGTAATGCCTGTGTGAGGCAGTGGGGATACTGATGATCAAAAGTGGTTCCTTTCCTACCTTGCCCCTGCCCTCAGGTGCCAACCCAAGCTCTCTGGGAATGAAATCTTCATTCTTGGCAGTTAGAGCTGGTTCAGGCAACAGCACTTCAATTCCTTCCTAAGCCAGCTGTGAAGAACCATATAGGGGGGTAGAATGATTATGGGAAGTGCGGGTAGCATCAAGAGAAGTGGTCATCTCTGCAGTGAAAGAGACAGCTAGCTACACAAAGGCTCTCTAGGGCAGTAGTGGTTATGGCAGAAGGAATTGCTAGTGCAAAGGTCCTGAGGTAGGGAAGAATTATTTATCTCTTCAGTAAGAAGACAGGGGGTCTATGTGGGTGAAGCCTAGTGAACCAGGAGAAAGGAATGGGATATACGGTAGGCAGAAGTTAGGTTGGTCCTGTTTGGGGTCTTACTGACCATGGAAAAGATTGATCTCAGTCCTGGGAATAGTGAGGAGTTTCATGATTTTCCTAATAAATCTCAAGAATGAAGACTGATAGAGTTTGAAACAACCAAAAATACATGTACATATCTAGATATGTATATAGTCATATTTTGGAGTCCTGGTATGGCACTATAGAATATACACTGAATCGTAAGGTCAATTTAAACCTCAAGGTTGGTGGTTCGAATTCACTAGCCCCTCCTTGAAAACACTATACAGGGTCAATATGAGTCGGAACCAACTTGATGGCACTTAACAACATAATCATATTTGTATAAAGGCTTATATGAGGGGACTTCAAAAAGTTTGTGGAAAAATGGAATTAAAAGATAAGGGAGTTTTTCCACATGTGTTTTGAAGCCCCCTTGTATATATATGTGTGTTGCTGTTGTTAGTGTCGTCAAGCTGGTTCTGACTCATAGCGACCCTGAATAGGATTTCCAAGGAGATAGGTACACTTCTTAAACGTAAACGCCTCACAGGGTTGGATTTCTAGGGTTGAAGGATTAGAACCATAGTTTGTCATGGGACATCTCAGTCAATTGGCTTAATATAGTTCATAAAGTTATGTTCTATACCCTAGTTTGTTGAGTAGTGTCTGGGTTATGAAGCTCTTGCAAGCAGCCAACTGTTGGTCTGTACTTGTTTGGAGCAAAAGTTAAAAGGAAACCAATGGCAAAAAGACAAAACTAATTTGTAGGGAAGATAGTCCATAGAAACCAAGGTTTCATCTACCCTGGGACCAAAAGAATGAGATGGTGTTCAGCTATCTCCACTGACCGTTTAAATAAGGTCCACAATCAGTCAACTCTGAGTGTATGGGAGAAAAATACAGAACAATATCTCTTTAAAAACAACAACAACAACAACAACTAGACCCACTGGACTAGTTGAGACTGGAGAAATCCCAAAGACTGTTGTCCTGATATACTCTTCAAATCTTGAACCAAAATTAACCCTTTGTAGCTAAATAACAAATTGGCTCAAAAATAATGAATTTCACCTGTTAGTACTGTGCTCCTTTAAAGAATCGCCTATCAGACAGTCAACAATTACTATGAAACAAAAATAAGAATTGTAAGGGAACAGAAATAATGAAAATGCATGGTGAACAACGTAACAAATGCCACTGAAGGACTTCTATAGAAATTGTTGATGGGAACTTACACCATCACTGAAAACAATAAAATCTGGGGAGCGGGGTGGTGGTGAGGAAGTCAGCCCATGTTCTGGATCATTGCAAAGCAACATTGGTGTACTAAATAAAGAGTCCTGAGCTTAACTCAAGCTCCTTGGAGATTCATAGGCCTAACTGAGTGAAGCATCACTCTAGGGAGCTGAAAGATGGGAAGAGTCCTAGGGAGTGAAGTGAGGAGTTAATGGTGTAATTCTAGGCAGTGGCCTAGCCCTCCATTCTGCATGGAACTGGGCACCTGTCGGCCCAGACAGCAAAGTCTGGAGACCCCAGATGACTGAAAGCAAAGCAAAGTACTTAGGTTCAAATCCCAGCTGCAAGAGTTCCTAGTCTGTGGCTGTGGTAACTTACTTAAGCTTTTGGGGGCCTCAGTTTGTTTGTGTGTAAAATGACAGAAATCCCTGTCCCCGGAAGCTGAGTGTAAGGGAGTGTAAGTAAGGGAACATGCTAGATAAAGTGTCTGACTTTGAGAAGACTCAATAATTATTCTTATCTCAGTCAGTCTCACCCAGCCCTGTGAGGTGCGCACTAGTATCATCCCCATTTTTTAGATGAGAAAACTTAGATCCTAAAAAAGATGAAATAAATTGCCCAAGGTCATGTCAGCTGGGAAGTGATGGAGGCAAGATTTGAAGGCAAGCAGTTTGACTTCAGGGACTGTGTGCACTTAATCACAACCCTCCCTGTACCATCATTCCGGGCCTCAGTTTCCTTACCTATGAAATGGGACTTCCAGTAGAGCCTGTCTCACAGTGTTGACATGAAAGTTAATACATGTAAAGAGCTTAGGACATCGCCTAATATTTGACAAGTGCTCAGTAAATGTGAGCTGTGATTTTTATTAAGAACTTTCCATTAGGCAGTCTGTCTGGAAGGGAGGTAGTGAGTGTCTCATCCAGCCGGGAGGAGGGATCCCTTAGACACTGTTGGGAAGTCAGCCCTTTGACTCACCTTTCGGCGCCAGGATTTAGTGAGACAAATAAAGGAATCAAGCTGAGGGTAGAACAGAGTTGTGTGTAATAGAGGGCTGATATCCAGAGGGTAGATTCAGGAAAGACTTCCCAGGGATGTTGGGGCTCAAATGAAGGACTAATGGAGTCTGGAGTAGCCAGGAAGTTCCTGAGAACTTGAACAGTATGGTGGGAACCATGGAAAGTTCTCGATCAGAGGACAGAGAGCATCACATGGTGCTTTACAGGAAAGACTGTGAATATTAGATTGAGCATGGGAAAGAGGGGAAACTGAGGCAGATCGAAGCAAAAGGGTACTGACCTTGAGGATGCACTCACCCAGGGGCTCCTGTGTTCTCCTGAGGTTCACCAGGTAAGTGGTTTCTGTGTTATTTCCAGGGGCGAGGCATCCTGAGCCTCTAGAGGCTTGAACTGCCCAGCACCCTCCTGGCACAGTTCAGCTCCGGTCTGCTCTCAACCTCAGTGTTGGAACTTAGAAGGCACCAGGTCCTGACATGTACAGATGAGGAAAATGAGGCCTAGAGAGGCGCACACATTTCACTGAGGTCTCTCATAGCAGGGCTGGAAGTGGAACCTAGGTCTCCTACCACCCAGCCATCTCCATGTATACCTGGCTCTCCTCCCCTCTCCAAATCAGTATCCTGCCCCTACTCTGACCCCACCCCCAGCAGCTGCTGCTGAGCCTCCCTAAGTGGATCAGCCAGAATCCTCTTCCCCTCATCCCCAGGGAGGATGAGCTGGTATTACACTCACACAACCGTCAATCCTATTTCCTCCCACCCATGATCCCCAGGAACATCTGGGTGGAGAGTATCTGGGCTCTGGACCAAGAAAGTAAGGGTCTAAGCAGGTATGCCAGGAATTATGACTCAGATTATGACTCAAATATCGGGATTATGACTCAGAAATAGACTTCTTACTGCCAGGAATGGCTCCGGCTGCCTTGTAAGAAAATGGGTTCCCCATTGCCAGAGGTGTGGGAGCAGAAGCAGCAGGGATTCCAGGATTCCTGTGTAGGGTGGAGTCCCTTACAGCTGTGCAAGGCCAGAAAACTCTGAACAGTTGCTGCCTCAAGAGCTAACCAACCAGAGGGGAAAGACAAAACACGCACACTGGGGACCTGTGGCTGCCAGACAGATGGTGCTACCCTTCTCTGGCCTCAAGTCTGTCTCCCCCTGGGCACTTGGAGATGTACAGGCTAGGCTCCCATCTGGGTACCCTCTACATCTGCAGCCTTGCGTGGCACAGACACTGGATGCTGAGCTAAAGAAGAAAGATGGTGAGACAGATGGAACCGTGGCCCTCTGGGAATGCCACAGTATTTGGAGAAGCCCAGAGGTTGGGGTGGACCTTTTGGCGACCTCCTTTCTTGGCACTTCCAAGATCACCTGGTCCAACTTTCTTTCATCAATGAACAGACCAGAGAAGGCATCTTGAGCATGGAGTCTCAGAGCCAGTTGTTGTTGTTACGTGTTGAGTCAATTCCGACTCATGGCGACCCTGTATAGTGTTTCCGAGGAGCAGCTGGTGGGTTTGAACCACCTGTCTTGTGGTTCGAAGTCCAGTGCTGATCCTACAGTGTCTCACCAGGAGTACAACAGAACCGTGGTGATTGGAAAAAAGGATGTGGGGGTGCATGGTTCAGGCCTGGCAGCTGGGTGGAAAATGCCTTGGAGTATGGCGTAGGGAAGTGGCTTCTGTCTAACTTTGCCTCTCTCACAGAGAAACCCACCCACCAAGGTCATGGAGGTGGAGTCTGCAGAGGTCCTGTCTCCAGCTCCGGGTTACAAGCGCTCTGGCCGCCGCTATAAGTGCCTGTCATGTACCAAGACGTTTCCAAATGCACCCAGAGCAGCGCGCCATGCTGCCACCCACGGGTCTGCTGATTTAGGTAAAGAAGAGGTGGCTGAGGTGAAGCCAAAGCCAGAGACAGAGCCCAAGCCAGAAGAAGCCAGTGGGGACAAGGTGTCAGGTACTGCGGCTAAACCACGGCCTTACGCGTGTCCGCTGTGTCCCAAGGCCTACAAGACGGCCCCTGAATTACGCAGCCATGGGCGCAGCCACACGGGCGAGAAACCCTTCCCCTGCCCCGAGTGTGGCCGCCGCTTCATGCAGCCGGTGTGTCTGCGTGTGCACCTGGCCTCCCACGCTGGCGAGTTGCCCTTCCGCTGCACACATTGCCCCAAGGCCTATGGCGCACTCTCCAAGCTCAAGATCCATCAACGTGGCCACACTGGAGAGCGGCCCTACGCCTGTACTGACTGCGGCAAAAGCTTCGCTGACCCGTCGGTGTTTCGCAAACATCGGCGCACACATGCAGGTCTGCGGCCCTACAGCTGTGAGCGCTGCGGCAAGGCCTACGCGGAGCTCAAGGACCTACGCAACCACGAGCGGTGAGGGCGTCCAAGGGCCTGGAGTTGGGGGTGTGGGGCTTTGGAAGAACTGATGGATGGGGTGGCCATGGAACAACAGCAGCTGCCCAGTGCTAATGGGGGTGTTTGAAGCCAAAGAGAGTTTGAAATAAGCCAATGGGAAAGTAGGTGGGTGGAGCTATGAGAAGGGCTCTAGCAGGTGGGAGACGTTGGTGCTTGTTGGACCCGGGTTGGGCTTGAGGTGGGTGAGGTTGCCTGCATAGGATAGAACCCAGGAGCTGACTGGGTTCCTGGACAGCAGGAAAGGAGGCTGGAGCCACCGTTCTTCCCAAGGGATATTTTTTATTGTTATGTGCTGTGGAGTCAGTTCCAACTCATAGTGACCCTATATAGGGTTTCCAAGGAGAGGGTGATGAGTATGAACTGCCGACTTTGCGGTTCGAACCGACCTTGAGGTCGAGTGCTTATCCTGTTGCGCCACACCAGGACTTCCAAGGGATGTTGCAGCCCAGATTCCTGGGATGGCACTGTAGGATAAGCACTGGACTGCTAACTGCAAGGTCAGCGGTTCAAAACCACCAGCTGCTCCTCGGAAACCCTTTACAGGGCTGTTAGGAATCAGAGCCGACTTGATAACAATAACAAGTCAGAAGCCACTCCACGGCACACAACAACAACTCAGGTGGCCCTTTACGCTCCAACAGGTCCCACACCGGTGAACGCCCCTTTCTCTGCTCCGAGTGTGGAAAGAGTTTCTCCCGCTCATCGTCGCTCACATGTCACCAGCGCATCCACGCAGCGCAGAAGCCCTATCGCTGCCCGGCCTGTGGCAAAGGCTTCACCCAGCTCAGCTCCTACCAGAGCCACGAGCGCACTCACTCCGGGGAAAAACCCTTCCTGTGTCCACGGTGCGGCCGCATGTTCTCGGACCCCTCCAGCTTCCGGCGTCACCAGCGGGCGCACGAAGGCGTGAAGCCTTACCGTTGTGAGAAGTGCGGCAAGGACTTCCGGCAGCCCGCTGACCTGGCCATGCACCGTCGGGTGCACACGGGTGACCGGCCATTCAAGTGCCTGCAGTGCGACAAGACGTTCGTGGCGTCCTGGGACCTTAAGCGGCATGCGCTCGTGCACTCCGGCCAGCGACCCTTCCGCTGTGAGGAATGTGGACGCGCCTTCGCCGAGCGGGCCAGCCTCACCAAACACAGCCGAGTGCACTCAGGGGAGCGTCCCTTCCACTGTAATGCCTGCGGAAAATCCTTTGTCGTATCCTCCAGCCTGAGGAAGCATGAGCGGACCCATCGAAGCAGCGAGGCCGCTGGGGCGCCTGCGCAACCGGAGCTGGTAGTGGGGCTGGCGCTGCCTGTTGGAGTGGGAGGCGAGGGTTCAGCAGCACCGGGGGCTGTCACAGGGCTAGGGGACCCATCAGCAGCAGGGCTGCTAGGGCTGACTCCAGAGTCAGGTGGGGTGATGGCCACACAGTGGCAAGTGGTGGGCATGACAGTAGAGCATGTAGAGAATGCTGGCCCTGGGGAGGTTCCTGGTCCCTTGGGAGGGGCAGGCGAGGTGGGGAGTGAGGAGGCAGACGAGAAGCCACCTCAGTTTGTGTGCCGCGAGTGCAAGGAGACCTTCTCCACGCTGACCTTACTGAGACGCCACGAACGCTCACACCCTGAGCTCAGGCCTTTTCCCTGCACGCAGTGCGGCAAGAGCTTCTCTGACAGGGCGGGGCTCCGCAAACACAGTCGCACCCACAGTTCTGTGCGCCCCTACACCTGCCCTCACTGCCCCAAGGGCTTCTTGAGTGCCAGTGACCTGCGCAAGCACGAACGTACCCATCCTGTTGAGACCCCCACGCCCCTGGAGCCCCTTGTGGCTTTGCTAGGAATGCCTGAAGAGGGGCCAGCTTGAGGCCCAAGTCCCCTCCTCCCCTTGACCACACTCCCCAAAGCCTAACCCCCCACTCCCACCCCAGCCCACCCCCGGGTTCCTCCTGAACCTCTTGCTCCAGCTTCCTCTCTAGACTCCAGATCCTTGTGTGGTGGGGTGGGGGCAGCTAGTTCACCATAGCTGAGCTGATGGAGCCAGCTGGCAGCAGCTGTTAACACGGCCCAGGGTTCGCTCTGCGCAGCTCTCATTAAAGCATTCACTTTGACACTGGGTTGTTGTCTGTGTTCTGGTTGGGTTGGGGTGAGACTTTGAGCATCAGATACCAGATAAGGCCCTGTGAAGACCCTTGGACTGAAAAATTAAATGCTACAAAGGTCTTTGGGTGCATTGTTGCCCAAAGAATCTTTCAGATAACACTAGTCTCATTCATGACGTCGTAGGACAAAAGGCCAAGCAAGTATAGGAAATTCCTTGTATACTCTTCTTGGGGATTCTTGGCAATCAAAAGTGTATTTAAAACTTTGAAGAGTCCTACAATGAACAAATCGATTTGGCTTTATTTAACTCATTTTAAGAAGCCCTGGTGGCACAATGTAGGATATTAACCAAAAGATTGACAGTTTGAACTCAACCAACTGCTCTGCGGGAGAAAGACCTGACCACCTGCTCTGGTAAAGATCACAGCCTAGAAAACCCTATGGGGGCAGTTCCACTGTGAGTTTGCCTTGACTCCGCCACACCTAATAGCCCACATTTATTTGGCCATGGAAACCTTTTATTAAGTACTTCCACTTTTACACTTCTACGGATAAGGCCAAAAAATTAAGTGTCTTACCTACATACTGCAATAACAGATCAGAAAATATTTTGTTAGATACCAGCAAGTTGGTTCTGACCCACAGCAACCTTACGTATAATAGAATGAAACACTGCCTAGTAAGTACTATGCCATCCTCACAATCGTTGCTGTGTTTGAACCCAGTGTTGCAGCCATTACTGTTAATCTACTTTTATTGAGGAGCTTGCTCTTTCTTGTTGACCCTCTACTTTAACAAGCATGATGTCCTCCAAGAACTGGTCCTTCCTGATGGCATGTCCAAAATACTTGAGACAAAGTCTTGTCATCCATGCTTCTAAGGAGGATTCTGGCTGTACTTCCAACACAGATTTGTTCATTCTTTTGGCAGACCATGGCATATTTAATATTGCCATCACCAGTACCATAATTCAAAGACATCAATTCTTCATTCTTCCTTACTCACTGTCCAGCTTTCGCATGCATATGAGGCGAATAAAAATACCATGGCTTGCGTCAGGCACACTTTAGTCTTCAAAGTGGTGTCTTTGTTTTTTAACACTATAAATTATAGGGATCTTTTTAGCAAATTTACCCTTGATTTTGTGACTGCTGCTTCCATGTAGATCCAGTAAAATAAAATCCTTGACAAGTTCAATGTTTGCTCCATTTATTGTGATGTTTATTGGTCCATTTGTGAGGAGTTTCGTTTTCTTTATGTTGAGATATAATCCGTGTTGAAAGCTGTGTGATTCTCATCCGTAAGTGCTTGAAGTCCTTTTTGCTTTTAGTAAACAAGCTTGTATCACCTGCATATTGCAGGTTGCTAACGAATCTTCTTACAATGCTGATGCCAACTTCTTCATATAGGCCATCTTGGATTATTTTCTCAGCATACAGACTGAGTATGGTGAGAAAAATACAATCCTGACACACATCTTTGCTGATTTTAAAACACTCATACCCTTGTTCTGTTTGAACAACTGTCTCTGTTGTCTATATATATGGGTTTCCATATAAACACAATTAAATTGTTCTGGAATTCCCTTTCTTTACAGTGTTACCCATAATTTATTTTGATCTACACAGCAGAATGCCTTTGCATAGTCAATTCAACACAAGTAAACATCTTTCTGGTATTCTCTGCTTTCAGCCAAAATGCATCTGATGTGAAGTGCTATCAAGTCAAGTTCCAACTCGTCAAGCTCTGACTCATAGCAACTCAGTATAGAGTTTCTGAGGCTTCAAAGTGTCGCAGGAGCAGAAAGTCTCATTTTTCTCCCATGGAGTGGCTGGTGGCCTTGATTTGCAGGCCAGTGCTTAGTTCTCAAGATCCATCTGATAGCAAGGATATCGCTTGTTTCACGCCCTCTTCTGAATCCTGCTTGAATTTTTGTTGATAAACTGCTGCAACCATTTTGGAATGGTCTTCAGTAAAATTTTACTATCTGATATTAGTGGTATTATTAGACAGTTTCCACATAGAAAATATGCTAAGGCATACAATCCAAGAGTAAATAGATAAAGGCTTACAAAACAGACTAAATGCTTTAGAGACAGGAAGATCGCTTAAGGGAAATAAGACCCAATATATCCAGATTACACTCCCAGCTAAGGTTATTCATAGTATAAGTAGATTTGTGTTATTTTTCAGTAATCCAGAACTTGATTGGAACTTAATCCAACAGCATTTTAGGAGGTTGTGGAA